CCCCTTTAAGACAGTGATCTCATCCCTGTTATTCATGAGTGAAAGATGAGGACTGTGTTTTCTCTCCCATAACTACATACACAACTCACTGTGCACTCAGTAAATTCATAGCACACACCAATGCTCAACAAAACTGTTTTAGTTTAGTGTAAAAATGCTTTTTAATATATGCATGACTTTTATAAAGAGATGAGTTCCACTTTCTGTTGTGTCTTCCTAGAAACCAGGTCACTCTTTGAACCTGTGGAACTTATAGAACCTGTTTAGAAAAGTATCGATCAAACCCAATCCCTACATTCCACTGACAAAGAAGTTAAATGGTAGAATAGTCATGTGACATCTCTATAGGTCCTGAAGCCGTATCTTCTTGATTGCTGTCTTCATGTACTTCCCACAAGCCCTAACTCCCTTTTCCTACCAAGCTCTGTTCTCTCTCTCATCTCTTTCCCCTCCATCAGGAGTCTGCCATCACACCCTTTGTACTTGTAAGTTTCCAAGATGTGATGAGAGAAAGCAGTGTCATAGAGCAGAAGGAGCTTGGAAATCCAAAAGACCTGGTTTCTAATCCTGACTCAGTCACTCAACACCTGTGTGAATTTGTACACATTCCTTAACTCCACTGTGCCTGTTTTCATACCCATAAAATGAGTGTGAAATTGATATGAACATTAATTTTAAAATTATATGTAAAACAAGTGTCTGGCATAGTGTCTGGCACATTCTACTGCTTGAAAACAAGAAATTCATGTTATCAGCTGGTGATATGGCACTCATGGACATGTATTTGCCCTGATCCTCCATTTGCAAAGTATAGAAACATCTGCAGAAAAAGGTCTGAGTTCAAATCCAATATAATAAATAATGCACTGAGTACTCAGGTTTATTTATTGCTCTAACATAGGGAAGATAAAATGGTCTCTGGAAAAAGTCTTTCTTCAAACTTCATGGTGCTTCAGTGGTTGCAGCAAAGACAGGAAAATCAATCTTAGACTCGATGTTTTAATTTCTTTTCATGATTACTGTCCTCAAATGGAGAATGCAATTTAAATTAATGCTGTGTTTGTTCATTTTCCTCAAAATGAACATTGATCAGATTCCGTCTGAAGGATCTGTAACATCTCTTCTGTAATTATTTTTAAATATATTAAGAGGGAGCTGTGTATTACAGAACAGGGGCCTATTTCTGGGAGACAGACGTTCTGGGTTCTGGCTCCTGTTCTATCATTCACTTACTATGTGACCTATGGAAAGTTACTTCTGGTTGAGCCTCCATCTTCTCTATAAAATGGGTACATAACTAACTCACAGAGATGTTTAAGGATCACAAGGTCATGCATGTTAAAGGCAAAAAGTAAAATACCCTTATTGTGAACTAGTGTAATTACTACCCATAGTCCTGAAAAATATGATGAATTTAAGCTGCACATAAATAAGGACCATTGGGACTTGACACATTATGATATAATGCTTATTATTATGATGATGATATGTGCCAAATGTTACACAGAGTACTCAGATAGCTAACTGGCTTGTATTATAAATATATAAAAAAATATTCTTTCATTTTTAGATGTCAGCTAAGAAAAAGTGATGAAAATAGTTGAGACTCACTGCTGAATATTAAACATGTTTATTAAATAAGTATACCTGCAAGTGATCCAAAATGATCCAAAACTAACAATACATATATTTTGCACTCTTCAATAATGGATTACTTTCCCTTGTAGAACATCGATGCAGGCTCACTGTCATTAGTACTCTCCAGATTGTACTTAAATTTTCTTCTCAATGTTTTCTCTGATGGCCAGCATACTGTCATCTAAGAAATGCTTTACCGCTGCAAAACTTAACTTAGCCCCTGTGGAAAGCTGTTAGCTATGAGCTCTAAACTTTTATAGAACTTTTAGATTTCAGTTTAGATGAAGCAAAATGAAATTATACTGCTATAATATAAATTTGCCTGTAAGAGCTCAAGTATTGGATTGATTGTGGCTATTTTTAAAAAGTACATACTGTGCATAGGGGCTAAATAATACTTAAATAGAAACATGACTATGTAAGGCATCATTTCTATCAGCTAACACAGTGTTATAAATATGACACCACTGTAAAACTTAGTCTTTCTCTTAGCCCTGATTAGGCTATGTAAAATGCCCACCTTTATTTCAGATCATGAAAGTGACAACCTTTATATCCAGACTGATGCCAGAGGAGATAACATTTCCCCGAAGGGGTAAAAAAAGCTATTGGCTACACTGATAGGATGGCTGGGCCAGCTGTACATTCATAATCATCATTAGTAATTGTTAAATGGAAAGGAAATAAGAACTTACCTTTTTAAAAGAGAATGGACACACAAACAGGGCCTACTTTTCCTGGCTTGGAGAGCTACTACTTCAGAGGTTAACATTTCTCAGCATTCCCTAAAACTAAAAGAACTACATTAGAAAATACAAAGGAAGTTACTATGAGAACAAGCCCAAGTTTTCTTGACAAATATTTATTTAATCTTTTATTTTTTAAAACATGCAATGAAAAAACTTTTTAAACAGAGAGAGAGAGAGAGAGAGAGAATTTTTTAATATTTATTTTTCAGTTTTTGGCGGACACAACATCTTTGTTTGTATGTGGTGCTGAGGATCGAACCCGGGCCGCATGCATGCCAGACAAGCACGCTACGGCTTGAGCCACATCCCCAGCCCCAACAAAAAAATTTTTTAGATGCATTTAAAGTTGGGAATGTGGCTCAGTGGTGCGGCACTTGCCTAGCATGTGCAAAGCCCTGAGTTCAATTCTCTGTACTTCCAAAAAAGGGCATTTAAATTAAATTTATTTTAATTAATACATGAAAACATAACACTGTGCATATTAGTCTTGTACTATGTGGTGATCTAATGTTTCTATACATGTACACATTATGTAATGCTTAAATAAGATTAAATCTATCTTCTCAAAAATTTATCACTTCTTTATGATGAAAACTTTTAAAGTCCTTTCTCCTAGTTTTTTAAAAATTCACAGTACATTGTTGTCATCTAAAGTCACCTATTATGCAATAGCCTACCTGAACTTTGTGCTGCTAACTCACTCTAGCTTTACACCCGTTGACAACTTTTGCCCAAGTCTTCCTGCCACCGTTTCTCCCCTGCCTCTCATCACTGCCACTCTGCTTTCAACCTCTATGACACCAACATTTTTAGATTCCACATATGAATGAGAGCATGTGCTACTTGTCTTTCTGTGCCTCACTTATTTCACTTAACATAATTATTTCCAGTTCCATCTATGTTTTCACAAATGACAGGTTTTTATTCTTTTTATAGGAGAATAGTATTCCATTGTATATCTGTACAACACCTCCTTTGTCCATTCATCCATAATGAACATTTCTGTTGTTTCCATTTCTTAGCTATTATAATTAGTGCTAAGTGAACATGGGAGTGTGGATGTCTCTTCAGCATACTGATATAATTTCCTTTGAATATATTCCCGAGAGTGCAATTATTGGATCATGTGGTGTCTATTTTTAATTGTTTGAGGAACCTCCATATTGTTTTACATAATGGCTATACTAATTTACATTCCCACCAACACTGTGCAAGTGTTCCCTTTTTTCCACACCCCTACCAGCACTTGTTATCTTTAATCTTTTTGATAATAGCCATTCCTACTGGGGTGAGGTGATATCTGCATTAATCTAATGATCCTTGTCTTTGAGAAATTTTTTTATAGACCTCTTAGCCATTTGTATATCTTTCTGTGATCAAATCAGGTGTGTGTGTGTGTGTGTGTACATGCTATTGAGTTTTTAGAGTTCCAAATACATTCTGTATCTCAACCCCTTATTAGATGCATACTTTCCAAATATTTTCTCCCATTCTATAGGTTGTCTCTTCACCCTGTTGATTGCTTTCATTGCTGTGCAGAAGCTTTTAAATGTAATCTCATTTGTCAATTTTTGCCTTTGTTTCCTGTGTTTTTAGTCTTGTCCAAAAATATCTTTGACCATTTCAATGTACTGATGTGTTTCCCCTATGCTTTCCTATAGAAGTTTCTTTTTCTTTTCTTTTTTTTTTGGGGGGGGGGGGTGCAGGGATTGAACTCAGGGGCACTCAACCACTGAGCCACATCCCCAGCCCTATTTTGTATTTTATTTCGAGACAGGGTCTCACTGAGTTGCTTAGTGCCTTGCTTTTGCTGACACTGGCTTTGAACTCGCTTTCCTCCTGCCTCAGCTTCCCAAACCACTGGGATTACAGGTGTGCGCCACCCGCCCAGCTTCCTATAGACGTTTCTTAATTTCATATTTTTTAAATCGGTTGTCTTCATTTAAATAGCTAAATTAAATGTTTTTCACTCATCATTCAGCAAATAAATTATCGATCAACTAGTACAGGTTCTTAAAAAAAAATTTTTTTTCACTATTTAAGACCTTAATGATGAAATGGATAAGCCACAGTCCCTACCTTCTTTTCCTTCAAGGAAAAGAAAAATGCATTACTAGGCAATGAGAAAATAATAGGATTCTATAGCAAGTGTCTTCTAAACATCAAAACACAGAAACGTGTGTGATCCATGTTGTTAACGTGTTTCATTAAACATTTCATGAAAGAAGCAGCATTTAGTTTGAGTGTTAAAGGTTAAAGTAGATAATACTAAGATAGAGAGGGAGAGAGAGAGGGAGGGAGGGAGGGAGAGAGGGAGGGAGGGAGGGAGAGAAATTTATTGTGAAAAACCTTAGAATTCAGAATGTTAAAAAGTATGACATCAACAGGAGTCAAGCGGAGCTCCGCGCCAGTACACCCAGCGACGAGGAGGCCCAGTGCTCGCTGCCCGGCGGGGGCTGCTTCAGCCCCAGGTCCAGCTTCCCAGAGCCGCGCTCCCCAGCCAGGCGGCCACTCCTGCGGCGCGGATCCCGGCGCCCGGGAAAGGGAAGCGAAGAGGCCTCGCCAAGGGGCAGCAGCGAGCCCCGGAGACCTCGACCGCATCACAACACCCACATGGTCACCAGAGTGTGCGCGGCCTACGAGGTGCACGATGGCACGTGTGACCAGTGCGAACCCGACCAGGCTCCGCGGGCCGACGAAGTGTGCCGAGAATGCGGCTTCTACTACTGCACCCGCCACGCCGACGAGCACAAGTGGAGGTTCCCCAGTCACCACCTGGTCAAGAACACGCAGGGCCTCCAGGCCAGGACCTCGCGAGCCGGCGGGGAGAGGCCCGGGAAGGAAGAGATCACGGTCAAGGTGGAGCCGCGGCAGGAGCTAGAAAGCGCCTTGGAGGACAGTGACTCGGAAGGAGGGAGCGAGACCGGTGAGGAGAGTGAAGAGGAGGACAGTGAGCCAGAAAGCGAAATGATGGAAGAAGACATCCAAGGAAGGTCCGTGTCGGAAAGAGAAACTAAGGCAGAAAGCAAATTGGACCGAAAAAGAGCACTGGAAGAAAAGAGAACGTCCAAGAGGAAGTATGCAGACCAAGGGCTTGATTTGAGCCCCTACTCCCAGAAAGACAAGCCGATCATCTGTGTCCTTGGGACTCAGCAGGGTCACCAGCTTTACACCTTAGATGAAGCCTTTGAAGAACTAATAAGCAAAGACTCCACTAGAGTGAAGGCAGCCATTATAGAGTTGGTGGAAAAGTTAAAGCTCAAGAGTTCAGATCCTAAAGTAACTCAGAAAGAGATAAAGGAGTTCATACAAAAAGAATTTAAGAAAGTTCAGCAAGTGCTTGCTGATGAGGAGCATAAAGCTGTGCATCTAGTGGATATCCAGGAAGAAATGGACAGAGATCATCTAACTGAGATACTGGCAGACCTTCAGTCCCGTATGGATAAGCAGAGGACTCAGATGCCCCAGGCCAAGGAACAACTTGGTACCTCTAACAAATCAGCTAAGCCAAGGGCAGGGTGTGCTTAGGAAGGACCCAGTGGTGCCAGTGAATAAGAGAACACATGAAGGCTTGCCATCAGAGTAGAAAACAACCCCTTCCCTTGTGTATATGTAACGGGCTTCTGACTTCTCTGAAGACTGCCCAGCAACAAATGTACTCCCACCGGATATACCTCTAGATCCACAGCAGGCACATATGTTTCCAATGAATGACCAGTTTTATGCTTACTATGTACTTCTCATTCTCTTGTTGCAATAAGTCAAATAAAGAGCCTCTTTGAGCAACTAAGAAGGGCCCTTCAGGTATCCCCTCAATGGCTGCTTTGAACTTACTCAGGAAAGCGAGCCCCTATAATGTTGTGTAAGTCAACAGTAATACTTCATTAGTGATCTGAAATAATCATGAAAGGAAGTTAGAGGGTTTTTGCCTACCTGCAAACAAAAACTCTACTTTGTTCACTCTGAAGCATGAAACAAACAAGACAAAGTAGGGCTTTACTGACTCATGTCCACAGTCTCCATAGTCCAGTTCTACCTTTGTGAAAATGTGATGCTGTAAATTAGGATGGATGACCTGAAAATGAGATTGGAGAAAGAGTTAAAAGCTAAAAAAAAAAAAAAAGACATATTTTTAGCATATGAGGTCATTCAGGACTTCAGATTCATAATTCAGTGTTGTGGAAATGAAAGTATAATAATTTTGTCAGCAGAGACTGTCAACTGCAAACTATCTTAAGAAACCAGAACAATATCCCGTTAAATCAAGCAGAGACTTACTGCATCCAGGGAGGCCACTTACTACCTCAACATCATCCTAGTTGCATCTTGCAGGAGAGAAGAGGATTTGAAAAACACTGTTTTTAAGACTGTCGGACCTACTTTAAGGCATGCCATGACTTTCAGTGGTGTGATCTGCTTGGTACTGAACCAAGTTTATAATATAATAAGACTAATGCACACAGTAAGGGCAGGATTTGGAAGAGTCTTTGAGGAGTAAACCATCATTTTATGAACCCAGCTGCAAGATCTATTGTTCTGAGAGGAGGTTATTTACTTAATGAGAACAAATAGATTTTAAAGACAAACTCAGGAGGTTCTGAAATAAACGATAGTTACTTGCAGCTTCATCTTTCTGGGAAGAATTTCTGTGATAATAAAGTCAAGTTAACACCGAGGTTGAAAGTAAAATCACCTTAATGTGGACAGTAGACTGGGTACAGATGGCTTCACGTGTCAACAACAGATGATGTTTGAAATAAAATGTGAGAATGAATATTGACAGTCCTTATATATCATTTTGAAGTGTATGACATGGGGGGAAAGAGGGGATCAAGTTCGGTCCTGTGCCAAAGTGCTTTGCAAAAAAAAGAAATTCATCTGATTCTACTAGCAATCCTAAAAAATGTAATTATTTTACCCATATTTCAGATAATACTGAGAATTAGGGAGGCTATATTTTAAAAGTAATCCTTGCTTAGTATCTCTTAAGGAATGGGTGAAGCCAGATTTCAAATCCAGTAATTAAATCATTTGCCACCTTCTTCATTGATCTGCTTATGAACAACTTTGGTTCTTTAAAATCTATGATATGTCAGGCACTGTTTTAGGCAATGGAGATATCTTGATTAACATGACATATATAGACTGTAGCTTCTTGGTGTTTATAATTTAGAGGGGAAAAGAGATGGTATGGAGAAAAAAAAGATTATTTCAGGAGTCTAAAAACTTCCCTGGTATCATTAACTATAGATATCTAGATTAGATGGCATTTTAAATCAGCACTTTGGTATAAAATTGGCAAAATCAGGAAAGTTGAGCATCCTAACAAGTGTATGCATCCTGAGCCTTCTGATAAATCAGTGTGTGGCAGGAGGGTGGGAAACAGGCTCAGAGAGGAGGGGAGAAGAGAGTGTTTCCTCCGCTGTGTGGGCATTTGGCAATATTTCTCAATTTCTGGCCTACATCACTCTCTGTGTGAGTTCTGCACACAGAGGAAGGGACTCAAGCAATTTTTCCAACATTCTCAGCTATTGTCCAAAAATATCTCGTAGACAATTTTTTTCTGGGAATGAACAATGAGTAGTCATGCTGTCAATATCTGTTCAGTCATTTACCTAAGATCCCAAGAAACATGGCTTGCTGTGTATGGTTCATTTCATTGGTGACAAATTTCTCCACTTTGGAAGCTTTGGTGAATCTTTATCCCAAAGTGGCCCAGTTGTTCATCTATGGCTGAGTGATGGGGGGTTTGTGATAAGACAAAGCTTCTAACCCACCTTTCTTAGGGCAGAAGTTGGTCACCTAGTTCTCTCTGGGAGTGTGAATAACGATAACTGGCATTTTTACACTGCATGACAGTTTACAAAGGCACTTCTCATGCAGTTATATTGTTTTAATATAACACAGATAAGAAAATGATGTACAAAGAGAATAAGTGTCCTTCTCTAACATCTCTGGGCCCAGCAATAAACTATGATGTATTCTAATTCTAACCCCTCTGTCCTTCCCACTATTCCAGTGCTAACATTCCATTTCAATCCCCCTCCCTTTCCTCTGTCACCTCTCACCCCTCCTCCCCCTCCCTTTTGCTTTGCATATTTTTAAGGCTGAAAGGGGAAAGAAAAAAAAAACATGCCAGGTGCAGTGGTGCTTGCCCATAATCCTAGCAACTTGGAAGACTGAGGCAGGAGGATAGCAATTTAAAGGCCAAACTCAGCAACTTAGTGAGACTGGGTCTCAAAATGTAAAAAGTGAATAAAAATGGTTGCCGATATGGCTCAGTGGTAGAATTCTCCTTGGTTAGGTTCCCTGTAGTGGGGAGAGAAAAGCCACACTTAACTAAGCTCTTATTTTTACTAACTTCATTCTTCCATCACTATTATTTATAAATATATTATTAGTGTTCCCATCACAAATTACAGACAGCACCTTTAGTCCTGTTGGCCTCCATATGGCTGGTTGACTGGTGACTGCAGATCTCAAACTAGGCCTTGTTTATTTTTATTTCTTTATTATGCTCTACCTTTATTTGTTAAAGTTATAATCAGGAGATAAGATTTTGCATTAAGAAGAAAATACCCACACATTCCTCTCTGAGCAGAGAGTTCACTGAAACTTACTTTGAAATGTATCTCCTATTCCCCTAAAAAAAAGATCATTAGAGAAGAAATCTATTCCTCCTCAGTAAACTTTACTTTGATATCTAAAGTATTAACTTTTTTTTTTTTTTTTTGCTGGGGCAGGGGTGGAACTCAGGGGCACTCCACCACTGAGCCACATCCCTAGCCCTATTTTGTATTTTATTTCGAGACAGGGTCTCACTGAGTTGCTAAGTGCCTTGCTTTTGCTGAGGTTTGCTGCTGAGAGCCATAGCCAAGTAGGAATGATGCATGGCAATTTCCTTGTCAGCCTACCCAATGTTGCTTAGAGGGAGGACTCTCCATTGTGGAAATGGGCTTGCCTTGGACCCAGGTCATTTGCAGTGACATTGCATGAATGTTTGAGAAAGGTGACCCTGCTCAAGGACCAGGGCGGATCCGGGTTTAGGGCAGTTCCAGGTTTAGGGTGGATCCTGCTGGGAATAGGGCGTATCCTGCTGCCTCAGGCACCCGCTCCTTGAGTTCCCGTTGAGTTCTTGCAGGATTCAGAGGGTATTTGGTATTCAGAGCCCGGTGGAGTGTGTGGATTTCCCCAGAACATGCGTGTAGAGTGCCGGTGAGAGTTTCGGGAATAAAGAATTGCTGTTTGAATCAACAAGGCTTTTGTGGTGGCTCGGTTATTTTGTGCCCAGACAGACTGCAGCATTTGGTGGTCCATACGGGGAAGGTCTGAAGCTTGGAGGTAAGTGAAATTGCACACCCCTGAGGGAAGGTGAGAGAATGGGTGACCAATTCAAAAAACAATGTGTTCTTGTTTTGATTTATTTTGTTTTTATTTCAAGCTGCCTATCCCTAGAACTTTCTCAGGCAAACTGGGAAAAATGGTTGGCTCAAGGTTTGAAGTTTTTCGGCCCTGAGGAAGAGAAAATTGATACAACGATTTTTTATTCCGTTTTTGTTTCATTCAGTTTCGGTTTTGTTTTGTGTTATCTTATTGGGTTGCATTATCTTTACAGTAGATTAGAAATTAGTAAAAAACAAACCGAAAGAGTGTTAAGTAAATTGTTAGAGGTTCAGACCATGGAGAAAGACATTTTAGATCAAGCAAAAGAGAAGCTCTCGAGCTAGTCAGACAGAGGAAGAAAATTTAAAGGAAAAGGGGCTATTAGGAAAAAGGCTACAACAGGAGGCTGCTACTAACTCTGTTCTATCACCAGAGGGCGTAATTCAACCAACAGCTCCACCTATGGAGACAGCTGAGTGGCCCTCAACCCCCGTAGTTGATAAATGGGATCCTGAGACAGGACCTCAAAGATTAGCATGCCCTGTACTTGAACAGGTAGGAGGGCAGCGAATTCACCGTGCTTTAGATTTCAAAACAGTGAAGCAGTTAAAGGAGGCTGTAACAACCTATGGTCCCCAAGCAAGCTTCACTGTAAGCATGGTCGAATCCATTACCAACTTGGACATGACACCAGCAGATTGGGCTAGCATGTGTAAATCTGTGCTAAATGGAGGACAATATTTGTTATGGAAGGTTGCCAATGAGGAATTTTGCATGGAGACAGCTAGGCGAAATACAGCAGCCAGTTACCCTCAAAAAAAGCTAGATATGTTGTTAGGAAAAGGACCTTATGAGGGTCAACAGCAACAAATTGAATATGATCATGCTATATATACACAAAATGCTGCAGACGCAGTTAGGGCATGGGAGACTTTACAAGGACATGGAGCTTTACAAAGTCAGCTATCTAAGGTAATACAGAGAGCTAATGACCCTTACGCTGAATTTGTAGATAGGCTTATTCAAACAGCTGCCAGAATTTTAGGGGATACAGAACAAGCAATGCCATTAATAAAACAACTGGCTTATGACCAAGCAAATCGTTGCTGCAGAGAGGTTATTAGACCATGGAAACATGAAGATTTAAACACATATATTAAATTATGTAGAGATATTAATGAACAAGGGCAAGTCTTGGCAGCTGCAGTACAACAGGCTTTAGATGCCAAGCCAAAAACATGCTACAATTGTGAACAAACAGGACATTTTAAAAGGAATTGCCCCATAGGAAAAGGGTTTAACAAAACTAGGCATCAAAGGAATAGAATACCAGGTATTTGCCCACCATGCCGTAGAGGGAGACATTGGGCTAATGAATGCCGTTCTCAAACCACCATAGAGGGTACTTCCTTATCAAACAATGGACAAGGACCAGGTATTTACCCACGATATCGTGGAGAAAGGCATCAGGCTCCATTGCCAAAAAACAGACTGGGGGCCCAATGCTCCGGGGCCCACAACCACAAATATACGGGGCAGTGGAGGAACCCAGCAACACCATCAGGGTAGTGCCCAGGACACATTGTCCATTATATCCCTCATCAGACAAACCAGAGGGAGCACAGGGTTGGACATCTGCGCCTCTGCCAGAGCAGTACTAATTCCAGAGATGGGAGTTCAAATCATTCCCACAGGAGTAAAAGGACCTCTTCCCCAAGGAACAGTAGGCTTATTATTGGGACGTAGTTCTTCTACACCAAAAGGACTTATGATAAGTCCTGGGGTAATTGATCCTGATTATGTAGGTGAAATAAAAATTATAGCTAGTTCTCCAAGAGTTATATCAGTAATTTCACCAGGAGATAGAATAGCACAGTTGTTAATAATACCCAGCCTACATGATAAATTTTCCAGCCGTAGTGTAGAAAGAGGTTCCAGGGGATTAGGCTCCACAGGTGTAGATTGGGCTATGCTGTCTTTAAATTTAGATTGTCGCCCAATGCTAAAACTAAATATTCAAGAACATGAATTTAATGGACTACTGGACACAGGTGCTGACCTTAGCATCATATCTCATCAATAATGGCCAAAACATTGGCCATTACAACAAGCCACTCAAACGCTTCGAGGCCTAGGAGTGGCAACTAATCTCCATAGACGTGCAATGGTATTAGATTGGAAGGATCCTGAAGGATGTGAAGGAACTATACAGCCATATGTATTGGATCATCTTCCTATAAATTTATGGGGATGAGATGTCCTAGATCAATTAGGTTTGACGTTAACAAATAACATCAATCCTAATGCACCCACTACTAGGGCTAGACAAGGTTTTGGGAAAGAAAAAAGATTAGGAGAACAAGAACAAGGTATAGCAGCACCAATTCAAATAGATCAAGGAATAAATAGACATGGATTGGGTTTTCAGAAGGGGCCACTGAGACAATCAAAATTACTTGGAAATAAGAAAGACCAGTGTGGGTTCCTCAGTGGCCCCTGACTAAAGAAAAGATACAAGTAGCCCATGATCTGGTCAAACAACAATTAGCGGAGGGACATATACAACCTTCCGTATCTCCCCATAATACTCCCATTTTTGTCATCAAAAAGAAATCTGGTAAATGGAGATTATTGCAAGATTTAAGAGCCATTAATAATGAGATGGTTATTATGGGACCTGCTCAATCAGGGATTCCTCAATTGTCTGCTTTGCCAAAAACCTGGTATGTTTTAGCTATAGATATTAAAGATTGTTTTTTTTTTCAATTCCAATTCATCCCGAGGATAGTCCACGTTTTGCATTATCTATCCCTGCACTAAATCATGAAGGTCCTGATCAGAGATATGAATGGAAAGTACTCCCTCAAGGGATGGCTAACAGTCCAACTACGTGTCAAATTTATGTTAACAAAGCAATCCAGCCACTTAGAAATCAAAATCCTGAACTACAAATATTTCACTATATGGATGATGTATTATTAGCACATAAAGATAAAAACACATTGCTGGAATGTTATGCCACACTTACAAACTTATTAAAAATTATAATCTAGAGATAGCAATAGATAAAGTACAATTAAATTTTCCAATTAATTATTTAGGAGTTCTATTATCCTCAACCATGGTCCGTCCACCAAAAATTCAATTATGAGTAGATCAACTCAAATCACTTAACGACTTTCAAAAGTTATTGGGAGACATAAATTGGATAAGGCCTTATCTAGGCATACCAACAGGAGAGTTGGGACCGTTATTTGATATCCTAAAAGGTCCATCGGATCCAAATTCACCCCGCATGTTAACTCCTAAAGCAAGAAAGGCATTAAAAATTATTGAAACATATATAGAAAATACGCATTTGGATAGAATTGATATAAGTTTGCCTTTATTATTTATTGTACTACCAACAAAAAATATTCCTACAGGAGTATTTTGGCAAGAAGGTCCATTATTGTGGATACATTTATCTTATTCTCCTAACACTATTCTTACTAGGTATCCTGAGGCTGTAGGACAATTAATACTCAAAGGAATAAAAGCAGCAAAGGGAGTGTTTGGAATTTCTCCCAATAAAATTATTACTCCGTATACTATGGATCAAATTGATGAGTTAGCTAATGAGTTAAATACTTGGGCAATAATCATGTGCAAATCTAATGTTTCATTTGATAATCACTTACCATCTAATCCTTTGTTGTCTTTTTGGTCTATGCATCCTGTAGTTTTTCTAAAAATCACAAGAAAATCCCCTATCATGAATGCTCCAAATATATTCATTGATGGGTCAAATAATGGTACAGTAGCAGTAGTCACCCCTGATCAAACTTTTACATTTTTAGTACCCAAACAATCAGCTCAAAAGGTAGAGCTTAATGCAGTATTACAAGCTTTTGTGATGTTTAAAGATTCTGTATTTAATTTATTTTCTGATAGTCAGTATATAGTTAATGCTATAGTATCCCTTGAAGATTCTCGTAGGATTTCTCCTTCCTCTACTGTTTTCTCTTTGTTTTCCACTATACAAAGTCTAATCTGGGACAGAAAAGATCCATTCTTTATAGGACATATCAGGGCACATACAGGATTGCCTGGAGCCCTTAGTTTGGGCAATGATTTAGCAGATAAAACTACACATGACATACATATTTTCTCTACACTAGAAGAAGGTACAAATTTTCATAAAAGGTTCCATGTTAATGCTAATACTTCACAAAAGTGTTTTAAAATAACTAAGGAACAAGCCAGACATATAATAAAACAATGTCAAAATTGTGTGACCATTTTACCACAAGTTAATCTTGGAGTCAATCCT